AAACTAAATAACGCTGGACATATACCAGTGAAATTTAAATCCAGGCAGTGTACATTTTGTAGCACAAGCAAGAAACCTCATAGAACAAGATGTATGTGCGAAACGTGCAGTGTGGGTCTATGCATGTGCCATAAAGACAAAATATGTTTTGAACAGTGTAACAAAAAAAAATTTGTTCTTTGAAATTAAAAAAATAAACACTGAGTTCTTTTTTATCCTTATTTTATTAAGTTTTTTGATACATTTATCCAAATGTCCTTATTATGTAGGTACTTATGTTTTCACTGCTATAGAAAAATTACATAAATGTTTATTTTTTAATTTTTTCTGACTATTTACTTTGTAAAATAATGTAAAAAAATTATATGTAATGCAATTCTTACATACATTTTTTTTAATCCGTAAATTTTGTCATTTATTGGAAACGCGCTCGGAAAATAGTAAGTTTTTTTTTTTTTTTTTTTTTTTTTTTTCTTACCACATCAGTAAGTTTCAAAGTCTTAGACGCGCGGTGGTTTCACAGTGCGACCACCACCCACAGAACAATGGGCAAGAGTAGATTTTTTTTTAATTCATATATTATTTGTCTCTAGGATCATAATATTAAATTTCTAGAGTTTTTAGTTAAAAAAATTATAAAAATAATATCGTGCGCGTCAAAGGGATAACGTGTTTCGTGCTGCGAGCATTTGAATTATGTTGTCTGTAGTAAATTCTTCATTAAAATATTTTATAAGTTATAGATACGCGTTTGCTTTTAAGTAATATTCTACTATATAATGCCATAACATTTTCTATAGAAAGTCAGCTTAAAAATATAAAAGTTTCAAAACATTTGTATTATTTTGGCCATTATGCTTTAGGTAAAAATGAGAAAATCACGCTTTCGTGTTTATGTTTTGGTTTATAACTGATTACACATCTAATGTAATAAACAGCTGCAAAGAAATATATGTTCGTTTGAATACATTGTATTTCAGTATGTTATTTGAGAATTAAAGTACCTTACTTCCCAACCCCCACTTACTGAAGCCGTTTCCGTGCCAAACACAATTAATTTTATTCAGAGGCTCTGATTAATAGTTTGTGTGTTGCAAATCGTAATGTCAGTTTTGAAAATTTCAAGTAAAATAATATATAACAAGAAATTCAAAAATTAATACTAAAGTAATAATAAAAAATAATGCCAAAAGTTAATCTTACGCAATTTTGAAGTTTCGTTTTTAATTTTTCCCAAAGGTATTTTTATAGTTATGTTCATGATTAAATTAGTATCTCTCTTACATCCAACTATCTCTGTTTGTTTTACACCACTCAACAACAGTTTTTAATTGTATTCTCAATTTTTTAAAATCGTTGGTAGCCTTTTTGATGAGCACATTTCATTTCAAAAGTTTACAGAAGAATCTACGATCTTTCCTAGATTCAGTTGATGTCGGCATGCCATCACCTTTTTCTGTATTATTTTCGGAATCAGTTTCAGCTCTTTATTTAACACTTTCATGTTCAATGCTTACGCGTTTTGTGAATTAACGCATACGCTAAAAATAAATCTTTATAACTTCCCTCGTTGATTGTCTGCTACAGTTGTAAGACTATTGCTTACAACTGTAGTTGCTGCTTATTTAGTTGCTGCTGACTTTAGCTACAGTTGTAAGAATTTTAAGTTTTATTAATGTTTATTTTATTTTAAAACTTTACTATCCTATCTTATTTTCCATTTCCGGCCAGAATAAACGTGAGCAGGTTTGGTTATGCAAATTGAGCTTGCAAATTTAAGTTGTAACTTTTAGCCAAGAAGAGAGGACTTCTAGCTATCTTACCTCGCGCGAGCTTTTCAGTCAGTTCCTGTCTTCCTTTGAGGCCAGAACTTAGTTCTCTTTGATACTTGAAGACGTATTGTAGTTTCTCGCATTCTGCTCACAACATACGTAAAGTTTTTAAAAGGCCATTCTCCGCGTTACTAGCTTTTGTAAAGTATCTGACTTTAGTTCTTATTTAATTTAATTTTAGTTCTTATTTTTACGTTTCAGACCATAAATACTGGAATTTGTATCCCGAAGTGCGGGAACGGCTGCAAAATGGAGAAACTAAAGGGTAATTAAATCCTTCCCATTTGTGTTGTATTTTCTACCCACTTGCACGAACGTAGTTTTAAGTAAACTCCCTGTTCCTATTCAGGACTCCAGTTACGTTTTCAGAGGCAATTAGAGGCAATAGTAGTCCTGATATAGTTTACGTTTGCTCTGAAGTTTTCTTCTGCATAAAAGCCACTATTTCGGAAATAGTTTTTAACTGATTTTAAGAAATTAACCCTCCGCATTGGATATATATATATATGACTTCTTGTAGAGATACCGACTTACGTGTCTCTTTCCCAGCACTCTTAGTTTCATAAAAATCAATCCTGTTCATAATTTTCTGATCATCGTTTCTGTAATGACATTTGAAAACTTTTATGACATTTTGGTCTTAAGGTGGAATATTATATGCTGTATTTGCAGAAAGAGGCATTAATACTTTTCAGAAAGAGATCAAGGTGAGTATGACGCACAAATACATAATTAAAAAAGCTATTTTTTCTTTTTTCATTCATATTAAAATAGAAGAATTTACTAGTTGAAATAGAAGATAGTAAGTTACTGTGATAAGATATTCTTATATTCTTCACTCATTTCAAACATTTCCTTCTTTATACGCATTTTTTTAATTTATCTCTGTGGATATTCCACATATGGTGTTTTATGCATATAAATAGGTTTAGAAGCTCCCTTTTAAAATAGTACATAATTAATCAATTAATAATTATGTAATTAGTAATTAAATTAATAAAATTTTAGAAATGTTGTCTTTGCGTTTAAACAAATTGACATAGTGTGAGCTATAGATGCCAAAGCTCGTGTCATTGCTTATGCAGTATTTCATAATCTTGACTGTATAGATAGGAGTTTTGATGGTTTTCCTCATTTATAACATAAATGAGCGTCAGTTTCCTTCACAAAGATCTCCTTGGTGATATCTTTTCTCTTAATCAAATACCTCTTGCCTACTTTGCCATAAGTAATTTAACAGCCAGTTTGCCATCCGACACTGGAGAAAGGATACAAAATCTTTCTGACGCCTCTTTTCGTTTTTGTAATTTTTCTGTTTCGAAAATTAAGCAAGTAATTTTAACTACCTTTCGTCTCACTAGTAATTAAATAAAAAAATATATGAGCCGGTATTATATTTCCCTAGTTTTATATTTTTTAAATATAAATAATAAATATAAACGTTTTTAATAAATATAAACGTTTTTCAAAGATACCACATTTCAGTAATTAATAAAATAAGTGTTATCTTGTTTAATTTGTAAAACAAATCTCTTTTAATTCTTGATTATAAGAATTCGAAGTATCAAATAATTAAAAATGAATACCTGAAAGCAAATGTCTTCGCCATTGCTTTAGCATCCTTCCTTTAAAAGCTCGGAAATTGTTTCTTCTAGATAACTTCTTCATGATTATTAGAAATTATTTATTTAGAAGCCATGAGTATTGTTATTAAAAAGTGAAGATATGATGAAGGATGCACTTCCGTCCTACCATCAGTAAACTAAGCAGCGTATTTAGGTAAAAACTGTACATGCAATTCCCATTATATTAGATGATATTTATATACAAAATATTTTCAATATAATGTTTAAAAATATTCATAACTCCTCTCGGAGCTATCACATGATTTAGCATAACTTTTAAATGTTTTCATATATAAATTTATGTTAAAATTTACAGGATATGAGCAAGTCTATTAATTATTTTTATTAGATGTTTGGGGAATCTTATGTAAAGAAACAATGTTAATTGGTTCAGGTTTTATTTTATCATAACAGTTTTCAATGTTTCAACACTACCGCCCTCTTCAGTTATAGCTGTAACCCTCTTCAGTTAGGACCCTCTTCAGTTACCGCCCTCTTCAGTTAGGACAAGCACCGGGATGTCTCATTGTTTGCCTTACTTGCCTTCAAGTTTATTTTTCTGTTTAGAAAATTATCCTGTCTATCTTTTTGTTTGTGTAACTTGCAGCTAAAGAGTGGGATTATAGAATGGTATAATAAAATCTACGTTCGATCAACGAAGTCTCTTGCATTGAGTTTTAACTATGCAGAGATTAAATTTCATGTTAACCCGCGAGCACACGCAACGGGTATGTCATACCCGTGCGCATTTTTCTTTTTGTATACTTCTCACCCATTCTTTCATAAAAGGACGAAACTTGGTGTAGCTGAGTTCAAGGTCACATACTTAAATGGGAGAAATTCCTGAGGTGACAGGTGCAACGGTTTTTTAGGAACAGCATTGTTCGGGCATGTCATACCCGCGCGTGTATTCGCGTTTCTCAGTGAGTCGCTTCGCACTTCTCGTTTTCAAGCTTTTAGTATAGGTTTTTCTTGAGTTGTAAGCATGCCGCCGTATATTCCTTACGATGAAGAGATGAAAAGATCGATAAATCTTCTTGAAACAGTTTCTTCTGATGAGGATTAAATTAATGAAGACGATGAAGATGTTGATGACGAAGAATATAATAGTAATCATGATTCATCCATAGAGAAGTAGTGATTCAGATACAGAAAACAAAAATGAAACTTTGGAATGTAGCAATGAGTTTTATGAAATGTGGAAAAAATGGAGTAAAATGGAACAAAAATAATTCCGAACTAATGTTAGAATTGGCGCCAAAAATATTATAACTAAACTCCCTGGAAATACGAAGTATTCTAAAGACGTCTCAACACCTTTAGATTCCTGGTCACTGCTTATCGATGAAGCTATGTTAAAACATGTAGTCGACAATACAAATATTTATATTGATTCAATACGTGGAAATTTCACTCGTGAACGGGATGCGAAATCAAGAAATGAATTGGAAATCAAAGCTTTAATTGGATTGCTGTATTTATGTGGAGTTTATAAATCATCCATGTGAACGTAAGAGATTTGTGGGCAACAGACGGAACGGGAATGGACATATTTCGGGAAACAATGTCAGTGAACCGATTCCTCTTTCTTTTACGATGCCTCCGTTTTGATGACATTAGAGATCGTCCCAGTAGAAGAGACGTCGATAAATTAGCTCCGATCAGAGAATATTTTGGAAATTTTGTCACAAATTGCAAAAAGGCTGATACTATAGGAGAATATGTGTCCATTGATGAGAAGTTGGAATCATTCAAAGGTCGTTGTTCCTTCAAACAATATATGCCTAACAAGCCAGCAAAGTATGGCATAAAAATATTTGCTCTTGTAGAAGCAAGGGTATTTTATACCTGGAGTATGGAAATTTATGCTGATAAACAACCAGATGGGCCATTTCAAGTTGAAAATGGTGCAAGCGAAGTTGTCAAACATTTAATAAGGCCCTTATACAACTCTGGTCGAAATTTAAAAGTTGATAATTGGTATATGGGATATGAATTATCTCAAGATCTCCTAAAGAAGAAAATTACGATAGTAGGTACAATTCGTAAAAATAAGAGAGAAATCCCACCTGAGTTTCTGGCAAAGGAAAAGAGAAGTATTCATATTCTTCAATTTTCGGTTTTCAGAAAGAAGCAACACTTGTATCTTATGTGCCGAAAAAAAATAAGAGTGTGATCCTGTTGTTCCACAATGCATTCCGGCGATCAAATCGATGAATCTGCTGGGGAATTTAAAAGGCCTGAAATCATTACATTCTATAACATGACAAAAGGAGCAGTCGATGTTGTAGATGAGATGGCAGTTGCGTATTCTACAGCAAGAGTAGCACGTCGATGGCTTATGGTGATTTTCTTTACAGTGTTAAACGTGGTTGCCATTAATGCAAGAATAATTCTACTATCAAAGAAGGAACCACCAACGGAATACCGTACCAGGCGTACTTTTCTCAAAGCCTTAGGGATGCAGCTAATAGAAAGTGTTCAAAATGAACGACGACGAGTATCTGTAGTTTTTGATTCTAGACAAACACTGACCACCGATGAACATGTTAACAATGAAACCCCCCCGAAAAGAAAAAAAAAAAAAAAAAAACTAAAATTACTTACAAGAGGTGTACAGAGTGCCCCAAGAAAAAAGATAGAAAGACTAGATTCATTTGTGAAAATTGTAGCAAAAGTATATGTATGGAACATATGACCTCATTTTGTAAACAATGTTAAAAAAATTGTAAGTAAATAATTTTACCTCTCCTTATTCTTTCATTTGTCTAAAATGAAGTATTAACTTGGTTTTACATTTTAATTTCTTTTAAAAACCGATTAATTTTATTTGGCAAATTTTTAATTACAAACTTCTTATTCGGGTATGACATACCCAGCGCGTGTTGTCGTGTTCGTCGGATCGGTGCGTGTGCTCGCGGGTTAAGTGTGTGAAAGAGATTAAACATGCCTAACAATTTAAATTTAATATTTGTTCTAGCAATTGTAATAACGAGTGTTGAAAATTCTGCTTTCAAAAGGATTTAAAAAATTACTGTTAATCTTTATTGTACAAAAGAGAGAAATAAGAAAACCTGAAGCATTAAATTTAAAATTATTTTCAACTATCCCTTGTAAGAGTTTTCACAAAAGCTAGGACTATAAGCGTGCATGTTTATAATAAGTAATTGTGTACTACTTTGTGGTATTTACCACAAACTTCATATCATGCTAAATATCTGTTTTTTTAAAGTGAACTTTTTACAAAGAAAATAGATGTAACATATCAGAATTGTTTTGTTAACCCTCATTTCATCCATTTAAAGAATAGTACATTTGTTCTGCGAAATCAATATTTTTGTGAAACACTAGAAAATCAAAGCAATGAAAGGTATTTCTTTTGTCTATAAAACGACAAGCAACGAAATGCATTTATTTTTAGCTTGATAAGAAACTGTCCTTTGCAAAAGCTTTGTCTTTATAAATGATTTTCAAACCTACATCTAAATGGCTTTTCTGGAAAGAGAAAGAAACAAACTTTCATAATAGACCATTTCAGCTAATACTGCAGGAGCTTTTGGACATTTTCCATCAATAAAATGACCGAAATGAGAAAACCAGAATTACAGCTTTGGACGACCAAGTATTACTTAAAGCCCCTATCCTAAATGCAATCATATCCTTTTACTCCAATTTAAGAACAACAGTATTCTATCAATTTGCGGAAAAGGACGTGCTCGTTCCTCGATGTATTTACTGCCATCGATTGAACAGATCCAAGTGCTGTAGTGATCAATCAATCAATGATAGGCGCTGAAGGGAAAATTTCTGATGGCCTCCGGAAGCAGTCTTTGGTCAATAACGGGTATTTTCTGCACCGTGGGGGTTTGAGTCCTAAAGTATAAGCGGAAAAATTAATTTTTGTCTCAGACAATTTCGGATTTCTTACAGAAAAACATATGATAATTAGCATATTACGAATTTTTATTGAAGTGTTTTTCTTTTTTTATATAACGAATTCTACACGTGTTATCTGTTTCACATCCAGATAGTATCTCGATGAGCCGTCGTTCCAATCCTGACGAAGGCATTGCTGATCTCTAGGCCCCGAGGCTCTTCATATTTGATTATATTCTCAGTACTCTACGGGTTCAACAAGTCAGGTATTTTTTGAGCAAGAACCTTTAAAAATCGAACATGTTTTCACTAGAAATCAAAATAGAAAATGTATAAAATGTATTGAATAATTCACTACAAAGACACCACCATGGACGGCACAGTCTTTAGCTGAGGATGGATATTAATCTTGACGAAAGGATATAGATTCGAATACCGCATAAATCTTGGTTGTTTGTATTCGTTTTCCCCCTTCTATTAAATGTAATATTGGTCGGTCCCCTGTGATACACCGCGGGCAATGTATTCTGCATATGACGGCTAAATGATAGATGGTTTGACCATTCCCGAAACATTTAAAAGGAGCAAGTGTCAGATCATTTTGAAGGGGGGAGAAAAATGGCAAGGATAAATGGGGTAAATGTCTTCAATTTTAAAAACGTGTTTTGATGAAAAACTGTTTAAACAGAACAAAAAACAAAAGTCTTTCCTAATAGTACAGGAGTTATTACGGAAATAAAAATCGAAAGAAACTCAAGGAAATATATTAATTCTTTTACAGATTATGTATTTATACCCCCCAGAAAAACGGAATGACATTAAATCAGAGAAGGAATCAGTATTTTTTCCTTTGAAATATCTTAAGTTTTGAGATTGTTTAATTTAAAGTCTTGTAAAATGTTTTTATTGTTCAAATAAGTTGTGTTTAATTTGCTTAGAATTTAAGTTTATTTTAATAAATTTCAGTACTATTTTCATCAAATTAAATATGCATCTGGGCTGAAATTAGTTTCTTACTTACATACCTACATAAATTGGAATTGGTACTATTCGCCGTGGCCATTTTGATGCGGCTGTTTCGCCGTCGGCATGTTTCAGCGTAGGGGAGTATCGCCGTCGAGACATATTTTTTTTTACACGAATGTATTATATCTTCTCGTATTATATTAAGCTGAATTAGTTTAATAATTTAATTAATAAACATTTTATATAAAAATATATAACATGCTTTTGTGTAAACTTTTATACAAATACATCGTTACACATGACATATTAATTTTTAGAGAGTAATGTGCTGACAAGATTCCAAAGTAATTCCGTTTCTCATTAAGATTTAATAAAAATGTGAATTTCCTGCCTGTATGATTGATTTCTATGATCTAGCTGATTAAAATTTCAAGAAATTTGGACGAATCATGTAAATATTGTACCCGCATAATCTTAAAATCGATAATATAACTTCTATTATATCAGAGGTTTAGCCCCATTTCTCTTTAGTACTAACATAATTTTCCAAGTAACTATGTCTAATTCTTTTAAATCTCATATTTGCAAACAACTACACAGGTAGTACAAGTAAACTTTATTATGCAAAAGGTAAACAGAATTATTAAATTTAATACGAGCATAATACGACAAGATATAATACATTCATGTAAAGAAAATATGTCTTGACGGCGAAACGGCCACGGCGAAACGGCTGCAGTGAAATGGCGACGGCAAAAAGCCTTAGACCCTATTTCAAAAATTCTGGCGACGGCAATCTCAAAAATATTATTTTGAAATTTTAATAATTTATTAATTAAAATGAATTGATTAATTTCGGATACGGATTTTAGGTTTAAAGCCCACAAACTAAATGGTATGTCGGTTTGTGTACCTCTCCTCTATACTTAAAGTACAATTCACTGAAGTGCACAGATTTAAAATGGAAGGAGCGTTATATAATTATATAATAATGTTATTATGCCACATAGCAGGTATAGGTAAGTTATATACGTGTTCCGCGTGTCTCTTATCGACCGCATTACGCGGCTGACCCTTTTGGAGATCTCCCCAGGACATCGGCATAGGAAGGCTCGGAGGTTGTAAAGCAACAGCATGCAATCCACCCCGGGTACTCCAGCCTATGGGCGACGAATTGAATTATTCTCTCTACCCGCCACAAAGAGGAATCTGAAGTTAGATTGGTTGGCACATTTGATAACTGCGAGATGAGATTTCCAGCACCCCCTGCTGGCTCCTAACGGCGACTAATAAGTAATTTATTCACAGTGCGTTTTGCTTATGCAAATAATTTTCACTTTTTATACGAGCAAATTTCGTATTTGTCTGATCCAGGTTTAATACGTAATAGATTTAAAGTTTTTTTCAATTTTTAAACATATGTATCCTTTAAATGATCTAATTTTAATTTATTAGAATGTGTCTAAATAAAGCAACCCATAGGTGGGAAATTTAATCCCAAAATAATATTATTATTGGAAAGGAACTTGAACAACCAATTTCCGATCAATGAGGATAATTACTTGGTTTATTAATTTTCATATTAAAAGTTTGCATTTTTATTTTCCATGATTTAAATTCAAGTTGCTTTAAAAATATTATTTTTGGGATCAAATATCATACTTCTGGGTTGCTTCATTTAGATACATTCTACTAAATTTATATTAGAAGATAATATAATTAATATTACTTTAGTGAAGGAAAGAATAAATTGAAATAAAGGTCTAATTGATACGTAGATGGCTGCCTTTTAGCAACTATTTGCAATTACAAAAAGAGCAATGGCGGAAGGAAAACGTAATACTAACAATATGGGATTTTTTATAAAAATGTTTTCTTACATACCAGAATTAAAATCTGAACTCGAACATGTAAATTCTTGATTTACATGACGATAAATATCGAAAGAAAAAAGAAAACTAAGTGAATTATATACTCTTTTGCTTAATATATATTTTAGTGCAATGAATCTTACTGCTAACAGTGCAGAAATAATGTATAGGCTTCGAATTATAACTATAATGTTAACGTTAGAATAATAAATTGTCTCCTTTCCTCGGTGTTTGCTTTCACGGTGCTTTTCGCTTGGAAGAATCTTGGTTACAATTGCAGCAAGAACATGACTGATTCCTCACGTGACTCCACTTCGAAAAATTTAAACGTCTTTCCAGTATGATGTAATGCAATACTGTATTATTGTCTATAACAAACATAG